AATTAGAGACGGCTAGTGCAGATAGCCCTCGTGTAGCTTTGCACGAAATTCAAAACAAACAAACAAACATTATGCAGGAGAAGTTTTTCACACTAGTATACCTTATTATCATAAAAGCATCAAGAAAGGGGTGGTTGCATATAGAATTCTTTCCTTCATGTATCTGTTAGATTTATTTTAGGGCAGAATGCTAATACTAATATTTTCTCATCATTTAGCATTTCAGTTATTTTGTTTTTATAGAACAAAGCTACACAATGGGCTTTTTTCACTCTGTCCACCATGAAAAATTTTAGTGTTATGACTCTGTAAGCCTTCCACTGACCAGGGGACACCTCAGAATAACATCATTGCAATGTTTCATCATTTATCAGTTCAAAATGTACACATTATTTATCTAAGTTTTCACTTTAAATAATACATTTTTAAAGTTTGTGATCTGAAAATCTAGATTTTAAAGTTTGTTTATAAACTTAAAAAATGTCTAATATTAAGATTTGTGTCAATTATCAGTCCAAACCTCACTCATTTAAAAATATATGTTAACTATTAGTTGAAAAATTCCATATTTTAAGGTGTGTAGAAATTACCAGTATATATTTTATAAGTTTAATTCAGTAGTCAAGAATAACACAGTTTTACTGTTTGTGTTATTTGTCACTTACAGAAAGTAAATTGATTGCTTATTTCATTTTTGTTTATTTGTAGGACGATTTAGCTGCAACTAAAAACAATTATTTCAAGAAATCTATGTTTAAGGTGAGACATTCTTTCTGGTTCTATTCATCAAACATTTTTGGGCTATAACAAGCTGTTTTTCAATATGTATAGAAAACTTTATTATTTAATTTCAGTTTAAAAATACTTTCTGAATACATGGTTGATTAATATTGTTGATTGAGCCGTAGCTGATACACTTTACTTATATCTAATTAAATATGCTATGACTAAAACTGCTAGGAATTATAAATCAACAATTGTGTGTTTTTAATTATTATGTATGCTTGTAGTTATTACACTTAAAAAATTTCAACAATTGTTTGTTTATCCTGTCTATCACTCATATCCTGCCAAAATTATATTTGTGTTCCCTATACCTTTTATTTTCACCATTAAGTATGAAGAAAGATGAGATATTAATGCTATCAGTGACGTTTACAATATTTTTTCATGAGAAACAATTTCAGAGGTCTTAACCTGCTCTCATATGACAACCTTTCCATTCCAGGTATCATCCTAGTAGCTCTCCTCTGAACCCTTTCCAACAAATCAATGTCCTTCTTACAGTAAGGAGCTCATGACAGAACACAGTACTCCAAATATGGCCTAACCAGTGACCTATTCAATTCAGTTATGACCTCTTTGGATGTGTGTATTCAATATTCATGTAGACATAACCTGAAATCCTATTTGCCCTCCCACTAGCAACAGCACAATGCTTGGATGGCTTAAGACCTTGAACAACCAGAACACCAAGATACTTTTCTTCCTTAACACCATTAAAGTTATTCCCATCAAAATTATACTTATAATTTAAATTAAGATATTCTGCATACATTTCTTTGCATATATTATAATTAAAAGCTACCTGCCATTTATTCACCCAACTCACCAAATTATCTAAACTCTGTTGTAACACATCCTCCTCACAGTCAGCAACACCCAAAACTTTAATGCTCAGTTTGAAGTCCAGCAGTCAATATGAAACACACAGTCACCCAGAGTTGTTCTGCATTACCACACAGCTTCTCCTACAAGGTGTTATCAGCTGATTATAATGTTTCTCATTCTGCTATCTCTAGACAGGTCATTGCTGTAAGATATACTCTGGAGTTTCCTCGTTGATTCCACAGGGGTTGTCTGCTGTATTTCAAAAATTCTTGTTGTTGCACAGGTGTCCCTCTGAATTATTGTGCCCTGTTCATAAGCAGAAAACAATCACTTGGTTATGGCTGTAGGATAATATGTTATGCCTTCCACTTGTTCTTGATATGCTGCTTTCTGACCAACTTGCATTTTTGATATGGTATGGGCTCATCTTTCTGTTTTTGTTGGGAATCTTGCTTCTCAAGGTGGTCTTTAGTTTTGTTTCCCCCAGTAAAACTTACAGTTAATATCAATACTAAAATTTTGTGCTAATTTAAACTCTAATATTGCATTTAAAGAAAAAATAATAATTTCTGTTGACTTTACATTGTTGTCTATAGGGATTTATTTTATGAATGTAAAATTTGTAATATTTCTTACATTATATTTAGAAATTATGTATATCACTTATTATAAGGACCAGCTTCCAGAGCTTTCTGAATCTTTTTCATCCTGGAAACTTAAAAGTCATTGCTACTATGATTATGTAAATAATATCGTTTTTATTTTATTTTAAAACTATAGATAAAGCACAATAGGTCTAGCAACTGCAAGTGTTGTAGTTTCTGTTATAGCATAATTTGTTTCTAAGTATACAACTTGCCTGGTAAGATTAATCATTAACCCTCAATATCTGTTTGCCATTATGACACTGTAGTGTAAAGAACTGACGAAATCATTGGTGACATCACCCATTATCTATGTAAAACACACAGAGGACTCCAGGTGTGAAAAAGTGAGGTTGATTGCAATATTGATACTGTTTTTGTTCACTTTTTTTGTGCTATCCTACTAGGGATGATGTAAACAGTAAAGTTGTGGATCCAGAAGCAATTTGGTGCATAAATATTTCAGAAAAATGTGTTTTAATTTAATATGTAATATTAGTGTTAACTTCACTATGTCTCAGTATGCAACTTTTAAGAAAGGTACTGGTAATTAAACTAATTATGTAAACAAATTATGATGATTAGGCACCCATCTTGAATATTTGTGAGGTATAACAAGCTGGTCTAGTTTCACTTTTCTATTACAGATGGATCTTCTGTCACTGCTACCTCTGGATTTGCTGTATCTAGTATATGGTTTTAATGCCTTATTTCGGTTTCCAAGAATGTTAAAGGTAATGTGAAAATGTGTCTTGACAAGTGTAAGATAAAACAAAACTGTATAGTTAAATAATTGGTATACTTTGGTGACAGATTTTCTTGT